AACCAAAAAAACTAGATCAAATCACAGGAAAACATCAGGATTAGGCAATATATTTGCAGCCGAAGGTGGAATAAACAGCGGGTTCCTTGGAGCGGTCTTCATCCTCATATTTCGTTGATTCTATTCAAGATACCAGGTGACATCCGATTCCCTAATTGTGATACCAGCAATCAGTCCCGACAAGCATCAGATAGCTCTTTGCACAGCGCGTTTCTCTCTCTCTTATGTTGTTGTTGTGTCCCTGATAAAAGAAACCAACATTGGACCAAATTTAACAGAAACCTGAATTGTGTAACAATTTGTACACGATCTAACTCACTTAAAAAGTGCTTCACATGTACTTTTTGGTGAGATTTGTTGGAATGAATATTCTTATGGATAATTCAGAGTCGCATGATCATCGAAACTTTTATTCATCTTCCCAGACTCTTCTTTATCATTTGTTCCAATGTGAGCGTTGAATGAAATAGCAAAACGAACGCGAATCGCATTGCAAAGGGTTACAGATTTCTAGTGAGGTGTCAATCAGTACAATTGATAAAAAGAAACATACAAGAGAACCGTGTAGATGGCATATAAAACGACCTTGTGGGTGAACATTCAGAATATCTTTCATTCTTTCAGATGGATTTTCAAACAGATGGAAGGTATATGACTCGTGGGAGAGGAACCTTGTTGATTTAATAGGAAAATTCGGATTGTAACAATAGTTCAATCAGTTTCTTGTAAAACGCTTGTAGCGGAAACCTCGTGTTATAGGGAGACAGTGTGAAACAATAAAAAAGATTATTAGAAGCGGGTAGATTTGATGCGATTTAAAAAGAAACGTTTTCTATCATTCGAGGAGAAGAATTGTTGTCCTGTTTGTTGAGCTCAGATTTACAATAAATCTCGGGGTGGATTAAATAGACAATAATTGTGAAACCCAATCGCAGTTTGACCGAATACACAAACTGCATCGGGATTAGATAAAACATATCTGGGTCGTGTGAATAAAAATATTTAAGTCGTAAGACCTAAAGAAGAAGCGGTTAAAGTGGTCTGCAACGGTACGAAGATAGTTCCCCCAATATGCCCGCTGCATACATTGAAAGAAGACAATTTAGTAACAAAGCTTAGTTTCGGTGACNTGACTCTAAAACTATCAGAGAACAACGTCTTACGAAGTAATCTCTCATGGGAGACTTTCAAATGTAAGATAGAAATCGGTAAGCATCTCTCTCCCATTCAACTAGGATACAAACGTGGAGGTTGTTAGCCGTAAGCTGGAAAATTGGTGTTTCATATATTCCATACGGCAAACTTGACGTATGATATTCACGTCCATATCGGTCAAGATTCTTAATCCTTCCGTCTGACTTTATCTGTACCTTTTTGCATGTTCCCGAGAAGTAATGTAAAGTAAGTAGTGGCCTATCTACAATAGTTCGGGAAAGTCATTCGATCTGGTTGAACACTGGTGTAAATTAAACTACTACAAATGTCATCGTTTCACACCTAGTCGAATCGAACCTCATAAGGAGTGTGAATGAAGCATTTCGTTCTCTCTATCTTGTTCGGGATCGTCTATCTAAGCCGATTAAAAATCATGTCCGAGCCACCGCGAAGTAGGTCGGAATTATTTTGCGTAATCTCCCC